TGATCTATTTACTAAATCTGCAAATGATTGTGTTGTGCTGGGAGATTTTTGCTAGATTTTAAATGGGTACTCAAGCTTTAAATGAAAACAAAAATAAAAACTCATTTTTGTGCTCAAATGAGTTGTGTCTTTGTGCAGTCGCTGGTTGCCAACGAAGATTTTCAGCACATTTTGCGTGTGCTGAACACTAATGTTGATGGAAAGCAAAAGATTATGTTTGCTTTGACATCCATCAAAGGTATTGGGAGGCGATTTGCAAACATTGTCTGCAAGAAGGCTGATGTTGACATGAACAAGAGGTAGGAACTCTGACTCTTTTTCCATTCATGCGTATCCAATGTTTTTTGTTTCGCTTGTAAATTTTCAGAAATGAAGAATTCTTGTTTCTTTTCAATACTTTTGATGCTATGTACTCTCAGAATATTGTAATTTACTGCAGAAACTAAAGTTTAGGGAGGCTCAATTTTCAATGATTGAATTACATTTAATCAGAACTTTTGATGTAATATGGATATGGGACTATTAATTTTTCATGCAAATCGATGGATTATTCAATTTTGATCCCTGTTTATTGATTATTTCACTATTATGAGGGCTTGGACTTGTGTTAGAACAACCTTGACATACTGATACTATGAGGATCAAAAGCTGTTTTTTTTTTTTTTTCCAAAGATTTTTTTTTTTAATTGGACATACTGTCATTTTTTACAGAGCTGGTGAATTGAGTGCTGCTGAGTTGGACAATCTCATGGTTGTTGTTGCAAACCCTAGGCAGTTTAAAATTCCAGATTGGTTCTTGAACAGACAGAAGGATTACAAGGATGGAAAATATTCTCAGGTTGTGTCAAATGCACTGGACATGAAGCTGAGGGATGACTTGGAGCGTTTGAAGAAGATCAGGTAATTGTTCTTCATTGATTAAATTTATTGTAAGAGGCAGGATTAGTTATTCACGATACATGATTCTACATGCCTCTTTTCTACTGCTTTTGTGATATAACTAAGAAAATTCCATCAGGAAGATACTTTACTCTTATCATCATGATTCTTTTATTCCAGTCAAAGTAGCATATGGTTCTCACACCGATTTCTACATCTGATTCAGCTGCATGAAGCATGATGAAGAGAATTTATATAAAAATCTGGTCAAGCACTTGATCAACTGCATGCATTTCCTTGTTGCTGACTGCTTAGGTCATTAGAAGATGCCATTCTTTAATGCCATTTCTGGTCTCTGGTTCTTGGATCAACATTATGCAATATTTGTTGCTAGCTTAACTTGCCAATACTTCTTTCGCATGTATTCATTAGGTCTTAGGGTCTATATAGACTTTGGCTTTAGAAACTCATAATCATGCAATTAGGATGTTGAACTGTTGAAGTGTTTTGTTGTCTCAATTTGTTCTCAGTTCTGGTGTTATATTATTATCAAATGTCAGGCTTGTTAACATTGTGATACTGATACCTAACGCAGGAACCACCGTGGTCTGAGGCACTACTGGGGCCTTCGTGTCCGTGGTCAGCACACCAAGACAACTGGTCGCAGAGGGAAGACTGTTGGTGTCTCTAAGAAGCGCTGAACATTTTATTGTCATTTCAATCAAATATATTTTTTCAGGAAGAATTCTACTTTAATTGTTCTTTTAATCAAGACAATTTTGGATGTGATTCTCGTCCTTTTAATGTGGGTCATTAACCCTGTGAAACCCCATAATCTTTCAGTCATTTGCATCATCTTTCTTGGCTGTATGCGTGCATTATAGGGTTATTTTATAAGATCAGATTTTCTTTCATTGTTTGATAAATAATTGTTTAGAACCAGTTGAGAGAATGGATGAAACTCTATTCCACTTCTACTCGGATTGATGGGTCACAACAATAATTGTTTAATGACAGTGATGATCCAATTGTAGGAATATGCTAAAGTTGCAGATACCGTGTTAACGTTAGAATGTGCTTGTTCTGACTTCTGACCTCTGGAGATATTATTTTGATTTTCTTTTCTATCAATTTCACTCATTTGATAGCTTTATGAATATAGTAATAATTTTAATTTTATATATATATTGAAAATGTAATTCTCTAAAAAATTGGAATGCAACCATGCAAAGAAAAAAGAGATTTTATGCTGTAAATTGTATTCTCCAAACAGAAACGCAAAAATTTTGCTAGGAAGTGAAACCTAACCCTAATACCCTATCCAAAAGTTATGCTTCTCAAATGAATTCAATTTCAATACAAGTAATAAGAATTACAAAATCAGGATAAAAAAAATAGTTTAAATCAATGGCTGCTTTTCTAATCTCTCATGATTTCCGGAAATCAGCTAACCGTTGTATGCTCAAGTTTATTCTACAGGGACCTCTAGACTTTCCCATCAAATTCATTGGATTCTGACAAACTATTGTGTTTTTGTTGTCTGCTGGTGGGGAGGGAGTGGCTCCAACGCTCCTTTCCACCAGGCTTAGACGAGGCATTGCCATACCAAATCATTCCAGCTACAGCTATTTTCATGCCAAGAACTACATGCAGATTGAGACCCTCTTTTCCGAAGAAGAAAAACCCCATAATCAATACAAGGATTGTTTTCATGTGACCAAGTACTTGGAAGGACACAGCAGTGAATCTGCCAATGCAGATGAATTGACTGAGGTTGGTCCCTACTGCGATGGTGCATGAAAGGACAATAAACATCTGTAGATACCACAAAATCCAAATAAAGGTTTGGTTTAATTCTTGTCCAACAAAAATACAAACATGGGCTAGAACTAGTGCAGATGCACCATTGTTGAGCAAACAAATGCAGGAATGTGCATGTACACATAAAATACTATAAGTAACATAGGATGTTCAAGCTGTGCATTAGAAATCATGTTGTATCAAATTGACTGCCTTCGTATAATAATGTTGAATTAAGAAGCTCCATTTTGTAGTCATAAATTCACATCAGGCTATTATGTATTCAGGGAAGTAAAAAGCAAGAGAACTACAACCATACATTGATATAAGGCACTAATAGCATCATAGGCATGCCAGCAAAATATATCAGATCATGAACAGAAAAAGGAGGGAACCATAGGGATAGCCATATAGAGATTAGTACATTCATGCAATTCATCAGAGACTGTAAGCAAGTAATCCAGATTTGTCTGTCACTCTACAGCTTATACATGTTTTCAGAGGGTAACTCTAAAGAAGACAAATGCAAAAAACTTCAAAAAAAAATGTCACAAGTTGGTTTAGTACTCACCACAGACACTGAGGTATAATTATAGGCATCAACTCTTTTGTTGGTCAACCAGTAATCCATAAATGGACCTATTAATAGCAGTGTTCCAGCCTGTGCAGGAGCAGTGTGTCCAAGTAGGTTGAAAGAACTAAGTGAATACCTTCTTTGAAGGTGATGCACATACTGCACAAAAAAGATCATACAGTATCATGAGAGACTTTACTTTTTGTGAAGATTTCACATGTAAGAGCTATTAAATGAATTTAATCATGAAAGAAGAAAGAAAATAGTTATTCACTAGTCAACCATGGCAATTGGGAAATGTTAGAGCTTTGAGTTAATATTGAGGAAAGCAACTTACATATTGTTGCAGAGAAGTGCTCCAAACTGCTATGAAGGCAGCTATGAAACCCTTTGCATTTACACTCACATCAGTGACAGTACAGACACCAACACCCAAAAGAACCACTCCTATGCTCAGCTTTGTGTCTCGGGAGTATCGAATTTTGTCCATCACAACTTCTAAAAAGCAGGATACCGGAATCATACTCAACTTTGCAATCTGAAAATTAAAATTAGAGAATTTATTATTTCTCAAATTGTTTGAACAAAAAAAATATCCCAAACCCAGCATATAAGAGTATTTACCTGATAAAATCCCACTGAGTTCCACATCAGACTAACATTCATTCCAACAATGGAGAAGTTTGCAAAGAAAATAAATTTCAGAAGTTCTTTGAAGGGTAGATGAGAAGGTTGGATGTAACCTAACCACCTTAGAACAACAGTCATCAAGGTTGTGGTAGCAAAATGCAAACCAGTTAATGTTGTAGCTGCAACAATTTGAAGTTGAAAAAAATGCAATGGTCAATAGTTGTACAATAATTATATTCTAAAAATGCATAAATTGATAACTAGCTTCCTAACTTACATACAATATCATGGTCACCTTTACTACTTATCCCAGCAATTTCAAGGCCATTTGTATTCTGTTGATTTGGTGCTTATTACAATAATTATAGGGTTTTCTTGTTGCAGCAAGCAACCCCTTCTTTAAATGACATCTACGGTTCTCTAACTGACTATATGTAATCTTCTTTATAGCTTTGTTCCATCTTCTAACTTCTTTTCCAAAGCAAAACTCAGCTATGAATTAGCTGGCCAAATGATGTAAATTTTCTTCTCTAATTGATTCTACACACCAATTTCATTTCAGTTAGTAATTCCACTCCTCCATTGTCTTGTTTCGCAATTATAGAAAGTAACTTCCTCCTTTTATTTTATTTTATTTTATTCTATTTTTGGGGACAAAATAAAACAATAAACAATAAAAGAAAGTTTCAAAGACCCTTACCAAAACTGAAACCATATGTAGCCATTAAGGCTTTATTAACAATAATAATCCCAACAGAAGTGACCACATTGAACATCCAAGCGGCTGCATCCACCACAGCCTTCTTATCAGCCCTGCTAGCTGGAGACATTCTATATATTTGTTAACAGTGAGAACCAATTTATCTCTCAACGTTCATAAAGTAGTCCATTTATGTACATATGAACTCCGAGTTTTCACCCACTTCACAAAAATATGTATCCTACAAGAAAATACAAACCAAGTCAGAAAAATGATGTTTACAAAATCAATGAACAAAAATCTCGACTTTTCTACGTTAACAGCAGAAATTTAACACATCAAAGTGGCAGAAGGACTCCCATCATCAATCCGGAATTTCCGAACTTTTCCTATATACTGTGCCATGAAAACAACTCTAGATAAGCAACTTATGGTGTAAAGCCTTCACAGAATCAGGGTGAATCAAGTAGTTTCAATTCAGAAAAAAAAAAAAAATTTCTCCCAGCGTACTTTATCCTCCTAACTTCTACCATAAATGCAAAAGATAGGTAGTATTTGAACTAATAACAAAAAGAGGAGCCGTTTTAGATTTCAATCAAACACATTGAATTTCTCAATACTAAAATCAGCTAAAAGATCTCAAAAACTACAGCAAAGCTTTCAGCTGACTCAAACAGGATTAAGAAACAACAAAACTGAAACTGCGCAATCATTGACGCAGCACGGATCCAGATCAAACATTCCAAATCAGATCCAGATACGATCAAGACAGAAAATGGTGCTCAGATCGCACAAAACACCGTAATTCGATACAATTGCGCGACAAAAGAACAGATCTACCTCAGGGAAACACGAATCTTCACGAAACGCATCGGAAAAGAGGTGTAAGCGTACCGTAGAGAGAGGAGACGTCGGCCGGAAATGGATTTGGATT